ACACGTGCCCGGCGTGAGTTTTAAGCCACGGGGTCTGGGACGCGAACCGCGGTCGACTACGTGGGAGTCCAGCGACATAGCCATTACGCCGACTGCTGGCCCCCTAACTTCTTCCTTTCCGATGGTGGTGCTTTTCTGCCCTCTCTGCCTCGTTGCTCTGGCTGAGACTGCAGTGCTAAGTTGAACAGAATCGAAAGCGTGGGCATTTTTCCGCATTCCTGACCGTGTCCTGTGGACTTCAGTTACAAACAATCCAGCCGACCAGAGAGTGAGGCTCCTTTTTAAAAAGTCAGAAAGCCTAGGAATGTCTTGAAAACGATGGTGTCGGTTTTCCCTGGTGGTCACTGAAATATCTGTAAGTTCATTTCTTTATTAAATTATCTCAATTTATTCTCTTGAGAGCCAATTATACATTCCTTCTCCCCTACGTCTCCCTGGGCTGTGCACAAGCAAGCCCCGAGTCTCTCTCCCACGCACCGCTCTTTCTAGGTCGTCCACAGGTAAAGCCAGCCAGCTCAGGGTCACCGTGAGGCTCCACGCGGGAGTGCGCCCCTGCTGGCTCCCTGTCAGACCTGCAGCCGAGGGACTCGGCCCGGGTACTGGTTCTGGCGGGGCTGTGGGGCCCGCTGTCTCTGATAACCAGTTAGCCACTGCCAGGGAGGGGCGGTCCAATGAGGCACGAGGAGTGCAAGGCCCCAGGGGGCCGGCGCCTGGGTTTGCGAAAGGCGGTGGCCGTGAGGACCGCGCGGCTGTGATGCGCTCCGTTCCGTGTGGTCCAGGCTGTTTTCTCGGCACATAATGAAAGAACGACACATTCACCACAACGCCGTTTTATTAAGTTCTGTCCTGGCAGCTCAAATAATTCCGTTTTCATTAAGTTAATGCATGAGTTTGAACTATTTTCATCTAGATAAACGAGGATAGAGAGAAAAAAACACATGTTCCATGCAGGCTGTGGGCTAGTGCCTTGAGCTAATAAATGTAAAACATGAATCCTTAGGTAGTGGCCGGGTGGGAGGACTTGTACATGGCAGGCCTGAATCCTAGCCTAGCCGTCCACTTAATTTTTGAGTACTTTGAGGTGTGTCACATAAAATATTTACCCTTTCAGTCTCTTATCAGTGAGAGTAGTGGGGGAGGGAGGGTAATCTCTCCACCTCCCGTCCCGTCCTAAGAGCCGAGTGTGACAATGAGTACGTTACACCGCGGGGGGCTCACAGATTGCAAGCGTTCAATAAACGGGTGCTCTTAGTATAGACTGTTGTAGTTTGTGCAAGAAAGAAAAATATGCCCTTTGATCAAAGAATATGTAACTCAGAGATGCTGGCCAGAACCAGCCAAAGCCAACTGAATTATATGAGGTACATATTTGGTTTCCTCTACAACTTTCTTCCTTTCTTTTTTTTTTTTGGAGAGGTTTTCGCTATAGGGCGCATGCGCTCGCCAGACAGACAGAGACATAGAGACAGAAAGCGAGAAATCACCCCCCAGGGGGGATGGTCACGCCGCAATCCCTTCTCCTCCATTCTCCTCTTGGGATCTTGGGCACGCACGCACACGCGCCCGGCGTGAGATTTAAGCCACCGGGTCCGAGACGCGAACCGTGGTCGACTACGTGGGAGTCCAGCGACATAGCCATTACGCTGACTGCTGGTTCCCAACTTTCTTCCTTTCTAACCTCATCTTCAGGCACAAATACTAACGATGTGCTCTCGAGGGCCAGGTGGTGGCACAATGGCAATGTGACTGGATGCCCTGGAGAAGGTTCTGGGTTCACGCCCTGACCTCCCTCAGCTGCGGGGCGAGCCCACTCGAGGCTGCCTACGGCCCAGGCTGCTGGGCCCAGGAGGGGACTGTGCACGACGCCGCTGCGGGTCGCTTTCTTTCTCTAGAAATAAATAAGAAATGTGAAAACTGAAAAGAAATTACTCTCAGAAAGAATGGTCACCGGGGTGTTGCAGGAAAGGCTGCAGCTGGGTACCAGTAACCCAGATGTCAGACCCACCTCGCAGCTCCGTGTGAACCTGGACAACTGACCTAAACCCTTGGACCTTACTTTCGTGTGAATAAACAGAGGATGTAGCAAAAATAACTCCCCCTAAATAGTTGTAAGGACTACTGACAATTTGCGTAAAAAAAGTCTTTAGAAGATATCAAACTAATAATGTTCTCATTGGAGTAAAAGATAATTTACTCAAAATGAAATTTACCAAAAGTGCAAAAAGTTACTAACCAGGCTAGCTGGCCGTGACATCAGCCCTTGTCCTGAAGTGGCAGCTGTGGGTGCCGTGGGTCCCTGTCTGCAGCTTGGGTGTGGCACCTCGGGACGCTCCCCCCTCTGCCTCTGCCTCTGCCTCCGTTTCTGTCCCCTTTGGGCCCTCCCCGTCCCCCACCTCGTCCTCTCAGCTCCCCTCCTCCCTGCCCTCTCCCCTCTCCCCTGGAAGAGTCCTGTCCCAGACACGGAGCAGCCGGACGGAGGCCCTGGTGGGGCCCTTCCCCTCAGGAGGTGGACGTGTCCCAAGCCCCGCGAGCCCCATGACGCACTCTCATCTCCATCCCCTCATTCGCCCCAAGGGTCCCGGGCGGACGGGCACCCACAGGGGAGGTGGGACTGTGCAGGAGGTGCTGGCGTCCCGCTGACGTCTCCTCTCACCGCCAGCCTGCCGGGAACCCAGCCCGCCTCTCCACGAGTGGACACGTACAAACCCATTCTTTACGACGCTGTGGTATGAGCCAACGCTTACTCTCAAACCAGCACGATCAGCCCGATTCTTTACAAGAGGAAGATTCCCGAGAGGGTCCCACGCCCGCGTCCAGGCAGGAGGAGCTCTAAGACCCCCAGGATGACTGAGGCCTATTTTCTATTAACCAAAGACCCTCCAAAATGCAGGACGGCCTCCGTGCTCTGAGAGCAATGGCAGAGTTCGCCGACTCCACGGCCGCGCTACTCCGAGTCTCGGCCTCTGCCTAGAACCTTCCTCAGAGCCCCCTTCATATCCTTGTTCCTCAGGGTGTAGATCAGAGGATTGAGCATGGGTGTGACTATGGTGTAAAAAAGGGCCACGAACTTCCCCTCACTGTCGGAGTAACTGTGGCTGGGTTGGAAGGACGTGTACATGGCCGAGCCGTAGAAGAGGGGGACCACCAGCAGGGGCGGCCCCCCCGAAAGCCTTCCGACGCCCGGCCTCTGACCTGACCTTCAGCACTGCCCGGGCGATGTGCACGTAGGAGCCCAGGATCAGGGCCACAGGGACGATCATGATGACCACTCGGGCCACGAACATCTTGGCCTCCGTTCCTTTCGTGTCGTCACAAGCCAGCTTGAGGAAAACGGGCATCTCGCAGAAGAAGTGGTTCAGCCGATGGCTGCAGAGGGGCATGGCCATCATGAGGCCTGTCTGGACCAGAGAGTTGGCGAAGCCTCCCGCCCAGGACACGAGAGCCCAGGCCTGGCAGAGGCGAGGGTGCATGATGGCGGTGTACTGCAGTGGACGGCACACGGCAGCATAGCGGTCAAAGGCCATGACCACCAGGAGCACGCTCTCGGTGGAGCCCAGGCCCAGCCAGAAGAACAGCTGGGCCACACAGCCCCCGTAGGAGATGGTGTGGTCGAGGCCATGGAGGTTGATCAGCAGCTGGGGCACGGAGCTGGTGGTGTACGTGAGGTCCAGGAAGGAGAGGTGGCAGAGGAAGAAGTACATGGGTGTGTGCAGTTGGACGTCCAGGCGGGAGAGAGCGATGATGGTGGTGTTGCCAAAGAGAGTCAGGGAGTAGAAAATGGAAATAAAGACAAAAAGCGTGAGCTCCAGCTGAGGCCAATCTGAGAAGCCCACCAAAAGGAAGCCGTCCCCAAAACTGGTGTTGAAGCCCCCCATACCTTCGGCCTGTGCACACCGGGAGGCCTGTCAGTGCTGCTCACGAAGAACACAGGATAGACGTTATTTTAGCGTGTTTCCTTAACCCCAGGCCATGCATGTGCGCATCCATTTTGTCAAACAAGTCCATGTGTTCGGTCTTCTGCTCCTTCTCTTCTCTTCTTCGGAGTGGGGCCAATGGGTCAGGGATCACGTGGCTTTAACTGGCCCGTCGCCCTGCTGTTTGTCTGGGACCCCGCCAGGCTGTCCTGCCGTCTCCCCGTTTCCCGGTGTGAACGTGTGGACGTGCACGGCTTTCTTCATAGTCGGAGATTCGGCCCGGTACCAGGACACAGGAACTGGTTTGAACGTGCGGTACAGGATGCAGCACTCCGCAACGCCCCGCGTGTTCTTCCTTTTCGGTCGACTAGTCTGTCTCCGTGGATTAGAACCAGGCCTTTCCAGGCCGCTGTCATGCTGTGACCTCCGGACGGTCACCTGGCTCTGCCCAGGGAGTGTTGTCAGTGACAGTCCTGGAAGCCCTGCTCACAGCCGTCCCTTCGGGAAATCCACGACAACAACAATCAACAACAAGCTCGTTCTGGGCTCCCTCGGAAGGGAGAAGGTGGTTCCTACACGGCTGACTGCAGTTCGAATCCTGGCCCTGGTGACTACAACGGACAGGAGCATTTGTGTGCATGCCCAAAAATCTCAACACGATGGGTCAATGGAGGCGAGATTGCGGCCTGGCCACCTCCCGTCGGGGCTGCTTTCTCCCGCTCTCTGTCTCTGTCTCTCCCTGGACCACACACAGGCCTTCTGGCAACTAAAAACCAAACCAAATACCAACAGGCGTGTTCTTCACAGTGAGTCATCAGGCCTGGAATCTCTCCCACCCCAATTCTTCAACTGACAAATCCGCCCCTCATTTCCACGGGAGTAATCGTCCCCAGCGGAGCACCTGCCACACTCATGACGTTCTTTGACATGCCTGTGTCCCTCTGACCCATGAGCTCCACTGCAGAAGAAAACTAAGCACTGGCACCTTCCCTTCTAGTATGGGAAGGGCTGGATTTATGGGGATTTAGTTGGGGTGCAATGGAGATATAAATAAATTCTATTGAGTGAAACATTTGGCTCTTCCTTTAAACATCATGAGAACGAATTTCTCCAGACTTGGAGATTAGCTGCTCACACACTTGGATAATCTATGGAAGAAGAATATGCTTAAAAAGCTTCTTTTCTTTTTTAAGAGTGATTTTTGCTAAAGGGTACATGTACCTGTTGGAGAGACAGAGAGATAGAGAGACAGAAAGGGAGAAACCAACTCCCCACCCCCAAGGGGTTGGCCATGCCACGATCCCTCCTCCTTCATTCTCTTCTGGGGACTTTGGACACATGCGCACGCCATGAGTTTGAAGCCTCTGGGTCTGGGACTCACATGCGCACAGCATGAGTTTGAAGCCTCTGGGTCTGGGACTCGAACCACGCTTGGCTATGTGGCAGTCCAGCAACGTAACCATTACCAGCCATCTGCTGGTCCCTAGAGTTGATCTTCTTTAAGGCTGACATTTCTGTTGGCAGATACCTAAGTGGGATTATATACAAGTATGTCAGAAAGCAAAAAATGGACAAGTGACCAACCAGTGTATGCTTGGTATCGACCACTGCCAGCCAACCTATCCTCTGTTAAACCTGCTGAGCTGGAAGTTCATGGCCAATGAATTAATGTTGGAGTAAGTATTCCAGGGAGGTATTTAGATGCCACCCGTAGGGGCCACGTGGGAAAGATGGCGAGGAGAATTCACAGTACCGTGGTGAAGCCAGTCTGTGGCCTGGGCCGGGCAGCTGGGTCTCGCGTGGTTGAGTCGTCGACGCCCACACTGGCTGACTTGGAAAGCACGTCGGACACATGCACACGCGTGCCCGAAACCCCAATAGGGGACCAATGGGGTAGAAGAGGCTGCAGCATGACCATTTCTCAAGAGCGGTGACTTCTCACCCCCTCATCCTGCATCTCTCTCGAGTGAGTGCACGTGTCCGCCGGCAATGAAAAATAACAGCAGCGTGCTCCATGCGGCTCAACAACTGCCTCCGTGCTGTCTCTGCACGGCCACCTCGCCACAGCAGAGCGCGATGGCCCCTCGCACCAACTGCCGCTGACCGCCTGCTCCCGGTGAATGCACTTCTGCGAGCCCGTGCGTCTCCCTGCTAAGCAGAGAAGGTAACTCACTCCGCAGGGCTCTGACCGGGGTTAAGTGGCGAGTGCGTCCTGTAAGCCACAGAACTGTGCTGCACATGCTGGACACTGGCCTGTCCCCGCCACAGTCGCCGGGTGCCGAGCCAGGGGCCCCGCCTTCCTTCGCCCCGCACCAGCTCCCAGGGAGGCACGTGGCGAGGAAGAGGCTCTTGACACCCCGGGCAGTGAGCGAACTAGAAGTCCTTACCCCAGCCTGCCAGTGCACGCATGCCCCAGGAGTCTCGCTCGGCCACGAACAGGAGCAGCCTGACATGCCCTGGCTGTGGCAGAGGGTCTGCGTTCCGGCTCCATGTTTTGATCGATGACTTTTAAGGAGATACCTAGATGTACCTAATATGTATGTTTGTAATTGGACAAAAGCTTAGAAATACAGTCACTGTGACCAGAGGGGTGGGGCCGTGGTAATGTACCACCGGACCCATGTGGAGGATCATGGGTTCGGTTCCCCAGCTGGCCTGTACAGGGGGACACATGCCCGTGGTCCTGGCTGGTCAGAAAGACTGGGGTGGGAGTCACAGCCCGAGACCCTGTTTAGGGGCCTGTCTTTTCTTTCTTTCTGTCCCTCAGTTTCTCACTCTCCTGAAATAAATAATTTAAATAACTGTTAAAGATAAATAATTACTACGGCAAATGATAGAATAACAATCCAAAATGATTTCAGGATGGGGAGAAAGGAGCCTTGAGCCAATGAAGGCCACCCCAGGAGAAAAGGTCACAATTGCATTGAACAAGAAAATTGGACTCAGCTTGGAAACCTTAGTTGCTCCGTTAAAAATTCCTTCAAGATCCCCTGCCCCAGCAGCCCCGGTATCCACGGTTACCACCTCTGCTCTTTGACGTCCTGTGGCGCTGTATGCATGCCTGCAAAACCACGTGTGGCCCACGAAGGTGCACATGATCATACGTAAACCAAACATCAAAATCTAAAAACAGTGGTAAGAGAAGCACACGTAGAACCCTCATCTGGACAGAGGCAGACATCGGGTGGCTGAAACCGTAGGAGAACTTGAGCTGGGGCGACTGGCCGGGTCTCAGCGGCAGCCGTCACCCCAGCCCAGCCACTCTTGGACCACCGGAGACTAGAGGCCACCTCCTAGAGCCGCATGGACGTGGCTCCCTAACCAGGAGTCTGGAGCGCCCTGACCTGGGGAAGGCCCGCCTGCCCTCACCCTGTTGGCCTCCCACTTCCGCAGTCTTGGACCTGTGCTCCTCGACCCATCACGTGAGCCTTTCCTGGCAAATATCTCTAACTAACTGCCACGTGGTGCCGTGGACCAGCTCCGAAAGAACATCCTCGCTAGTGTCCGACTAAAACCTGGCGTAAGTTGTGCGGGAAAGCAAGATCCGGGTCGGACCTGGCGCTACCACACACCCGCCCCGTCCTGGACACTCCCACTTCGCCAGTTCTTTTCTGACAGTGGTGACTTACGACCAAGCCTTTCCACTTACAAAACCTTTCACCTACATCCCTCCAGTTACCTCCTTCCCATAGATAGTGTGCCGAACGACGTCGGCGTCAAGGCTTCAGCTCCCCTCTCCGGCTTGCTCTTCGACTTTGCTGGATGGGGTCACTGGGTCACTGGGAAGTTGGGACACCCTTTTACGTAGAAAATACATCACGACTTGCCCGATGGCCTAACAGCTCTTACCACTTCCTCTGGGACGAGACGGCATTTGCAGGTCTCCTCTCTGCCGGCATTTTCCGGGCTGACCGCCCCTTTGACACAAGATCTCTTCCCTTCTCTTCGTCCCTCTCTGGCCATTGCTTGGTCTCAGCTGTGCGGCTCTTTGTACATCCCTCGGCTCTTTGTACATCCCTAATGTGGGGGCTCCCCTTGGGGTCCCACCCAGACCCTCTTCTCATACCACGCCACAGACTCTTCCTGGGAGCTGCATCGCCAGTGGCTTACGGTGCTGGTAATGCCCAGATGCGTCTCTGTAGCCTGGTCACTCTCCTGAACTGCGGGCTTCTCTGTCCACCGGCTAATGATGCCTTGGCACCTCGGAGTCTGGTGGAAGCTGGAGGGAGCACCCCTCCCAAAGCTAGCAGCTCCTGGAAGAAGCCTAAGAGCCTCCCGCAAGTCCACCCTCCCGCTCCTCAGGGTTAGCTCAGGGCTGCCACAGGGTAGGCCACTGTCTGCTGGCCCCAGCCACTACAGGCCAGAGGGTGGCCGGGACGGCTGTGCCGCAGGGCCGTGGGATCATTCCCGCCAGGAATGATCCTCACCTGCGTACCCAGACTCCCCTCTCCCTGCAGAGATGGCAGTGGAGGCCCCCCGCACAGCTGTCCCTCACCCCTGCCTCCTCCCGGTGCTGCTGTGTGCCTCCCTGAGCGACAATCTTCCTGCCATCACTGCATAATGTGAAAACCTGCCGGCCCACCTCTTCTGCCAGTGGTTTCCGATGAGTGCCCGCTGGGCATCACCCCCACGAATTAATCACTCCCCTTCCCCTAGAAACTGCTCTCCTCCCCAGCCATAGCTCAGGAAGGGCACCCTGACGGGTTACCCACGGGCCGTGGCCAGCCTCTGCCCTCGTCGGCTCTGAGTTCACCTGTCCCCTGGCCAGCAGTCTCCGGGGCAGTTAGAGCCTCAGGGGCCTTCGCGGTGGCTGCAGCCTGCTTGGTGCCGTAGGCCGGGAGTGTGCTGGGGGGCCCAGGACCTGCCCACGCCCTGGCAGCCCGGACCTGGCTATCCAGGTGGGAAGGGCACGACTGAGGAGGTGCCCACACGCATTTCTGGGCCGCTCTGGTCTGATGTAA